CATTTCTATATAAGGAAATTATCTCTATTGGCATTTTTTACTCTCCTACCACTTTCTCAAAGTCATGCTTCATTCATGAAATGTGTTGGAGTCCAGAAGGACGACCTCTTTAGACCACATCAAGTCATTGCTTCTCCTGGTTTCCAGTTGCATTTGGCTATTGGAGGATACTAGCAGATTGAAAGGCAAGTTGACTGAGTCCCTGTCCAAAAGGCCAGAAGTACTGTCCTCTGTAGAAGGCGATTTTTCCATTTTCTGGGGATTATTCTTTCCTATCGCATGATCATAGCTAAAAGCCATGAGGGTTCCATTTCGTGCTCCTCCTACTAAAATTTGGGACTTCACTGGGACTTGTCATTTTGTAACCCTTTCTACATCTTACAAGCTTGCAAATCAATCTTCCTTCATTATACTGTTTGAAGGCATCAACTCTCTCATCTTTTTACCTTAAGTCCTGGGACCTGCAGGTCAAAGTCATATTATTTATCATCCAAACATATGTCAGGAAACTGGAACTGCTGAATAATAATACAATTCAACCCTCCTCACTCTTCATATTCAATTTGTATTTATCTTCTGTTATTTTTAAATATATATCTTGATTTACTTTACTATGTTTATAATCATTGACACTTTCTAAGTCCAACTCATTTATCATTATCTCTTAAAATATTGAAATGTTCTCTTGTGGATCTTATGATTTTTGCATTACCATACGTTTTCCTCACTGATGCTATTCTTTCAAAATTTTCTCCCATCCATGACCCTGCTTAAAACTTTCTAAAGTTTTCCTATTCATTTTAGTTTAAAACCGGTGTAGTTGTTTAACAGAGCCTGCAGGGTCTTACATGAGCTAGATGCGATTTCCAAAAACTTTTGCATTTTCTTCACTTGATATGCTTTAACTCCTCATTCTTCCACTGTCTCCAACAGCCACCCTCCCTCCGGCCTCAGAAACTTAGCTTCCACTTTAACTTAGTTAACTGGCGCTTCTCCTCTTTCACCTCTCAGTTCAGATTTTGCATTTTCAATGAATATTTTATTTATAGTCTGAGTTTGTGTCTTTTGTTACGCATTATATAAACTCATAAGCATTCTACACTTTCTCTTTATAAAAAAAAATCTGTAAATTAATTTGAAAAGAAAAATTTCTCCCCAGCAGACTAAGTGTTCAGTAGGAACAGTATTGTTGTTTTGCTGATAGCGTCACAAATTCCCACTGTTGAGCACAGGCCTGACAAACGATAAACAAATCAAAGAGCAATCATGAGCAAGGTACTTGGATGGATAGAAGGACAAGGTGGCATGAGACATGAAATTTAAAACTATGCCTGGCACAACGTCCTTAGATCAATATCTGGCTGCTTTTTCGAGTTGATAAGATTCTAAGTTCTGAGTTGTACTGCAGATTGCCAATAAGTTGGCTTATGTCAACTACCAATTTCTCAGTTTCCAGGATTGAGTTATCCCTTTGCTAACACTCTTAGTGCCTTAAAGATTTTTCTCCATTTAAAAATATTCAATAGCAGCAAAAGTTTGAAAGAGATTTCACTGTGCAGCCTTCTACCTTTACGCTGCTCTATACTGCCAGTTAGGACTCTTATTTTGTGATATAGTGAGTTATCTCAAAAATGTTAATCAATAATTTGATAGGCAATGCATCCCAGTTCATGAAGCTTCCGTTAGAATATTATTATTTTAAGCTTATGAAATTATACCATAAAAATTAAAGTAAAATAAAGTAGGGAAAAATATTACTCTTAGACATTCAAAAAACACTTCAAAAAGTTCATAGGAAAATTGACTTAACAAGCAAGTGTATTTTGATGTAAAAAAATTTGAAATAAGGCTTTTTTTAAAAAAATTAAATTTTTATTGGAAAGGCAGATATACAGACAGGAGGAGAGACAGAGAGGAAGATTTTCTGTCCTTTGATTCACACCCCAAGCAGCTACAATGGCAGGAGCTGAGCCAATCTGAAGCCAGGAGCCAGGAGCTTCTTCCTGGTCTCCCACACGGGTGCAGGGTCCCAAGGCTTTGGTCATCCTCGACTGCTTTCCCAGGCCACAAGCAGGGAGCTGGATGGGAAGTGGGGCCAAGATTAGAATTGGCACCCATATAGGATCCCAACGTGAGGACTATAGCCACTAGGCTATTGCACCGGGCCCCATTATAATACATTTTCATAGGCTTTTGAAGATATCTAATATGAAAGGATTTCAACTTATTATGCATCAAAATGAGCATCTTACCTCCATTTTCTAAAAGCTTTCAGTATACCTTCACAGTAGGGTCTCTGTTTTGGTATTGTATTCTTTTTTTTTATTTTAGGTGAAAGTCACCTGTGACTTAATAGTTGCTCATGTAAGAAATTCCTGATCCCAAATAATCTTTATTTTATTTTTCATTATCTTTTCCTATGTATTTATAATTCTGAATGAAATTTCAGGACCTGATTCGGTGGCCTAGCAGCTAAAGTCCTCGCCTTAAATGCACCGGGATCACATATGGGCGCCGGTTCTAATCTCAGCAGCCCCACTTCCCATCCAGCTCCCTGCCTGTGGCCTGGGAAAGCAGTCGAGGACGGCCCAAAGCTTTGGGAACCTGCACCCGCGCAGGAGACCCGGAAGAGGCTCCTGGCTTCGGATCGGCATAGCATCGGCCGTTGTGCTCACTTGGGGAGTGAATCATTGGACGGAAGATCTTCCTCTTTGTCTCTCCTCTCTGTATATCCGCCTTTCCAATAAAAAAATAATAAAAATAAATCTTTAAAAAAAAGAGTTTTTTATTGTGATATTGAAATAAAGAGAACCGATTTCATGTAGTTCATAGACACAATCCTAATAATACATATTTCACATTTTTAAACTTTTTGAAGATTTATTTATTTTTATTTGTGAGGTGGATTTACTAAGAAAAGGATAGACACACACACACAGAGAAATATCTTCCATCCACTTGTTCATCCTCCTTAAAGGGCCACATCAGCCAGAGCTGAGTGGATCCAAGCCAGGAGCTAGGAGTTTTTGGTATTCCACATGGGTGTAGAGTCCCAAGGACTTGAACCATTCTCTTCTGCTTTCCTATTCCATAAACAGAGACCTGGATTGGAAACGGAGCAGCCAGGACTCAAAGTGATGCCTATATGAAAATTTGGCACTGCAGGGAGAGGATTAAGTTGCTAAGCTACTGCACCAACGTGCCCCTCCTGATTTACCTTTCAACTGAAACATACGATTGTTCATACTTACGAGAAACCATGTGATGCTTTGTTACATGTATACATTACAGAGTGTTCCAGATAAATGGAAATGGGGCTGGTGTTTTGGTACAGCAAGGTAAGCTGCACATGTAATGCAACAATTCATATCTGAGTGCTTGTTCAAACCCTGGTTGCTCTGCTGCCAATTCAGCTCCCTGCTAGCACACCTGGGAAAGCAGCAGGAGATCGTACAAGTACTTGTGCACCTGTCACCTACCAATGTGAGAGACCAGCATGGCATAACTGACTCTCGGCTTTGGGCCTGTACCAGCCCAGGCAGGTGAGGCCATTTGGAAGTGAGTCGGTAATGAATTTGTCCCTCTGCCACTCAAATGAATAAAATAAGTAAGAATAATGAATGCATCTATCTCAAACACTTAGCATTTCTTTACTAATTCACACATTATTGTGTCAATAAGAATGTCTGGAACAATACAGTTTTTCCCTTCTCCAAATTTTATACATCTATTTCATAACAAAATGCCAATTGTTTCATTCTCTTAAATTAATTGTAAATATTCTCCTTTAATAAATAACCGGGCCCCAAATTAAATGTTCAGCTATCACTATTTGCTTTGTATTATATTATTTGTGTGTGCTTTGTTTTGTTTGTTTCCAAATTCTTAAAGCTAAGTGTTCATTTCATTTGTAAAAAATTGATGGCATTTAAGACTATGGATTCAATTGCATAATTTTCATTGCAAAAATTGACCAATAATCAATATTAATAGGTCATTAGTGATGCTTGGAAAAATATTTTAACTAATACACAGGTATGAAGTTTGCATTCTTAGTTAAATGTATAAAGATCACAATATGTGAAGGTTCTCTTTTTTAGGTTTTCTTGATTTTCTTCTGGGCATTTTTAGCCTCTTAAAATTTTATCAAAAAATTTTCAAAAACTAGAGATAAGTATAAAGAAAATTTCAAGGAGAACAGCTGATTACACAGTTTTTAACATTTTGTCATATTCACTTCATATTCCCACTGCTTTTCATGAATGTAGCATGTTTTTAATTACTCATAGACGAGATTGAAGAAAATTATCATGAAATGTAGAAAGACATGTATATTACTGTGTAAAGATAGTGTGAAGATTCTGCGAAGACATGTGTAAATATCTATGTACCAAAAACATGGTATGCACATATGAGAAAAAACATGGAACTTTTCTTTCTGTGTCTGGCTTGTTCTCTTGGCGTAATGAACTCCAGTTCCATTTATCCTGCAAATGTCAGGATTCCATTCCTTTTTCCACTTGAATATTTTTCCCTTGTGTGTATATACCGCAATTTCTATAGCCAGTCATCTGCTGATGGATATTTAGATTAATTCTATATCTTCTATCACAAATTTGGCTGCAGTAAACATGGAAATGCAGTTGATCTCTTTTCCATTCTAATCCTCCTACAAACATTTTATCTAAGGTTAATTGCTTAATTGCACACTTACGTGTTTCATAAAATATGAAACCCATTAAAATGTTTTAAAATGAATCTGAGGTTTCTTAATAGAGATCTGAATTTACAAAAACTGCTTATGGGATATTTATAAAATAATTGACAATATCTCAAAGGGAATGCAATATGCCATTACAAATTATAAATGCATGGAAGTGGGAGATGGAAGCAAAGTCAGGCTCATAATTTTAGATCTATCTCTGGTAAAAAAAAATCATCAAATTAAGAAATATTTCACACCAAGTATATCTCATAAAGCGAAATAAAACAAACAACAGTTGGATATGATAAAATTTATTATAGGGCTGTAGAATCCATACAACCTAAACTGTCACAGCATTCAGAGCACCTTTACAGTTTTGTGGATTTCACAATACCGGTATCAGTGAGAAAGAATCACTGCATTAGTGAATAATGACTTCCTCACGAAAAATGTTCACATATAAGTCAGATTCATCACAGAGCACCAAACAGAAATGCAAAAAAAAAAAACAAAAACGCAGTTTCTAAATTCACAGAACTTACACAAGATGAAAAACAAAAATATTGTTAAGAGATTTGACATGCTTACATAAGGAGGTCAAAAACAAATTTAAAACATGCTCTTATTTGATCGTATGAAGAGCATGCTTTATAAAAACAGAAGATGGAATTCATTGTCAGGATGTTAGTCGACATATTTATGCTGCTTTCAGAAATCTAAACCCTATAAATTCAAAGAAAAATATAGCGTAATTTCCATTTCAAATAACAAGCAATGACAGTGAAACTAAAAGTTGAAGAGAGCTTGCAGTGGCTAGTAGGGAATTGATTTATTTTTTACTATAAGCAATAGAGTAAAGGAAAGAGTAAATATCTTGAGTATCTCATAAACTTTAATGTTGAAGTCATCTTGTAAATCTCTGACTTCTTAATACCGAGGAAAGATACGTTGTTTCTGCCTCTCACTCATAACAGATCTTGCTCTCAATAATGAATTCATTGGGGAAGTGTCTAATCTTGAAGCACTTATCAAAGGCACGCTTGTTGAAACCTACAAGGAAATACACACATAAAAGTGGCTTTTATTTGCTCCCAACATTCCCTTGCTCTCCCCTCTCACTTTCCTCACTAACTTAATAAAACAGAATTGAATCAATCAATCAATCAATCAATCAATTGATCAATCAATGTCTTACCTGGCAAGAGGTCTCTGCGACGAAGGCGGAAAGATTTTCTGTTGTTACAAAGTTGATAAATAAAGATGCCAAGATTACTAACATCACGAATTTCCCCCATAGCAATTAAGTCTTCGTGGACCACATAAGTGTAAGGCAGGTATTTCCCACTCTATAAATGAAAATCAGAAAGAAAGAAAACAAACAAATTGGATGAGAGATTTTTGCTTTCTTACACGTATAAACTTTTTTTTCAAAAAGACTTTGCATAACAGTTTTAGGTTCACAACAAATTTTGCCCCACTCTCCAGACTGATGCAACAGCATCACTGGACCTGACCAAAGCCAGGGGCCAGCAGCTTCACATGGTTTTTAAATGGGGTGCTGGGGCCTATACACTTGGACCATCTTCTGCTTTTTGAAGCCATTGGCAGGAAGCTAGATCGAAAGTGGAGCAACTGGGACTCGAACCAGTGCCCATGTGAGACGGCAGCATCACAGGGTAGTTACTTTACCTGCTGCCATGACATTTGTCCCTTCCTCATAAATTTTTAAAGTTTATCTTATTTATTTGAGTTGAAGAGAATGACAGTGAGAGTCTTCCTTCTTGAGATTCACTCCCCAAATGCTCACAAATTCAGTGTTGGGTCAGGCTAAATCCAGGAAATCCATCTTGGTGGTGACAGTGCTCAGAGTACTGGAATCATCATTCCGAAGTTGGCATTAGCAGGAAGTCGGGTGAAGATGGAGACAGTAGTCTCTCCCAGACACTGTGATATGGGATGTGGACAATCCAAGTGCCAATTCAACCCACACCCTCCAATGTCCATATTTCATTAGTATTTTAATGGGGAAACAAGGCTCCTTGCGAATAAATATAGAAAAACGTAATACAAAATACATACCGCCAATTTGGTAAAGAATTCCATCATATTCTTTAGAGGCATGACAATGGAAGTATTGAGTGGCATCAGGTAGCAGTTTCCCAGCAGTAAGTCAAGGTAAGCAGTCAATCCCTGTTAGGAAATGGGTGGGAGGTAAGATTAAGTATATACAGAGATATCAACACTAAAGATTTTCCAAATACCATTAGAGGAGGCAGCTACATTCTTTCAAAATCAAGTAATATGGGTTCAACAGCAATATGTACATTTACGGATGTACAAAATTTATGATTGCCAAAAAGCCAAGACAAAGAGAACATTCTGCAGTATCTATAAGACTGAGAAACTAGCCTTTTCGAAGTCATGAATAACGGTTGCAGGGTCGCTATCAGAGAAGCTGGGAGCAGGCACATCGATGATCACGACGTTGTCTTCCTCACGAATGTCAGCCTCCTCGGTCACGGGCAGGAAGTACGGCTCTGCTTCACGAAGGAAATGTGCAGGATCCTCAGAATCAAAGAAACACATTTCTCCTCGGTAAATGGTATTCTGAAACACCAAACGGGAAAGTGAAAGCTTCTAATCCTCCCACCAGAATATTTTGATTGTTTCTCACATTCGACTGTGCTAAACTGTTGCTTGCCAATTATCATGAAGACACCAATTTTACGAAATAAGTTATCATTTAAAGGCATTCTCTAATCCTTGTTTTCTGACCACCACGAGACACTAGATTGCTACTAGATGGAGAAAAATCAATGATTAAAAATAGAAAAATTCTAATTTTTACTACCTTGGGCATGAAGTACTTGTAAAGGCAGGTTCCACCAATAATAAGTCCTGCTAAGATGAATGAAATGCCCAAAAGCATAAGCATGCATCTCCCAAGAGAATCGTCATTTTCCTGGGTGGCAACTCGAAGTTCCTGTGTGATAAAAAGACCAAAACAAAAATGAGATGACACCTTTAGACATACGCTTGTATTTGTGTATAATTTACTTTCCTTAAATGCATTTTAATAATGTGCAATTATGTCATCTTAGATTAAGATTATGTTGAGACAATTTCTGACATCTAATACATTTAAGAGCATGTTCAATTATATTGACCTTCCTTCTAGCATTTTCAAACGCAAACACAGATATGAGTTACTTAAAAATACATACTTTTAGAATCAAATGAAAATAAGCATTTATTTACACAATATGTTCTATCTTTATTGAGCTAAGATTATATGACATGGAATTGCTATCTTAAGATTGTCAAATGCACTGTTTAACCACAGTATTTTTAATTATAGGTGTAACATAATATAGCTTATCTCAAGAAGTTATATTTTGAATACAAATGAAAGTGGATAATTTTTGGACATGTACACGGTTAAATGCAGTTATGCTTCTTTACTAATTTTTTATTAATAATTTTGTTACCAACTTAAAAGGAAAATTATTATCCTTTGTTAACCATACGTACTAGGAATGGACATTTTTTTGGTTTTGTTTTGTTTTCATTTAAATTTGCTAGAATTCAATGCGGGGGAGAGGGAAGACATCAATTGCCCTAGATTATTTGTCTTTGAATTGTATTTTAAAGTAATTGTATACCACTTCTGAGATAATATTTTGGCACACTCAATCTGATAATCTAGTATTATTATTGTCCATATCCTATAGTGGGCCAGGTCATGATCCAGTGGAAGTTTCTCCAAAACCTAACAAAGAAAATCAGGCCATAAATAACCATTTCCATTTATTCCTGGCCATACCACAGACCTGGCAAAATACTGCTTGTATAATAATGGGATCTATCTACACATCAAGTCTTTAGTTGTGAGGGGAAAATATTGATTAGTGAATGGCTATATTTAGCTATGGCATCTAATTAGGCCTCACAAACTGGTCATTTATAAAAAAAAAAAAAGTAAGAGGACAATTGCATTTTTTAACTCTGCTATTTTTTTTAAGATTTATTTTATTTTTATTGGGAAGTCAGATAGACAAGGAGGAAGATCTTCTGTCAGTTGACTCACTCCCCAAGTGGGAGTTGGGGAGTTGCACCAATCCAAACCCAGGAGCCAAGAGCCTCTTCCGGGTCTCCCACACAGGTGCAGGGTCCCAAGGCTTTGCGCAATCTTCTCCTACCCTCTTAGGCCACAAGCAGAGAGCTGGACCAGAAGCGAGGTGGCTGGGATTAGAACCAGTGGCCATATTGGATCCTGGTGTGTGCAAGGCTAGGATTTTCGCCGCTGGGTAACCGCACCTGGGATCCTAACTCAGCTATTTCATCAAAACCTCAACAATAAAAGGACGCATTACCTTTAACTTCTTAAATGTATTCAGAAGCTAATTTGAGCGCATGGTTAAATATTGAACATTTTGATAAAAATTCTGCATAAGCCTATTAGCCTTTCAAGTTGTGTGCACTCACAAACGTCTTCAAAATTTCCACTCTGTACATGGAAGTTAAAACTTTATAGATTCAAAATACGGGAGAAAAAACCCCCGTAAGCTCCATATTTGGCAGAACAAGAAAATAAGATTGCCTTTTAAAATTTTGATTGTAATGCCTAAAACGAGTAATAGTTTATGAACACTAAAAACACTGTAGGTGTTTAAAGGCAACTGGACTCAGATTAAATAAATAACGGTTCTCATTTTGGGGAAAATTTTCCACAATTCCTAGCAAAGTTAATAGTTTAAATTACATCATTGTGCTTGCCTCCGATGTCGATAAGGGGCAAGTGGTGTGCTCAACAAGAAGAAACATGGGGTTAAGTGTAAGAAAGGATCCTTATGATGATTTTCGTAGCAGACGCAAGGAAATGCCACTCTGAAACGCACACGATTTTTTTTTTTTTTTAGTGAGAAAGCCCATTGAACACACAAAACTCGAGTTAAAACTAACTTCAGTTTTGACAGCTCCTTTACCTAAGACTAAGCGCCTCCTAGGAGCAAGGAGAAATTGAAAATATGCGTACGCGAGAGGGCGCGCGAGCATGCCCGAGGGCGCACACAAGCACACACTTGCCCAGTCCATCCCGCCCAATGTAAAGTTGCTCTTTCCCCCCACCATCCCAATTCCAGAAGCACTCTGCGACTTTAGAAAGACCTAGATTCGATAGAAAAAGGAGAATTAAGTCTCTTGCCCTGGGTCACTGTGTGCTCTGATCAAGTGTAGGCTACAAGCCTCCCTAGAGTTGGGCGCAAAATAGCAAAGCATGGCCCCATTCCATCCCCAGCTGTCCACAAATTCCCTGGGAGAAGATAATAGTGGTTCACAGGAAATATCCTCAAGTTTCCTCCAGTCTCCCTCCGGGATACGCGGCGTAAACTGCAGGCAAGGGAACACTGCGCGACGCACTGGAATGTAGAGGGACTTGGAAAACTGCAAGCAGGAGGTGGTTGGACAAGACAGAACCCAGACAGCCTGCAAACCAGAAGGCCAGAACACAGGGAGCCTGCCCGGGGAATCCAAGATCTGCAGGAGAGCCTGCAGGTTTTCCTCCACCTCCCGCACGTACCTCCCCTCTCCCTTTGCTTCTTTCCCATTTGCCCACTCCCATTCCCTACCCTCACAGGTAGTGAGGGGCAAAGTGGGGAGAGCTACCTTGCCGGTCAGAATCTGAGCCCGGACGGCGCGGTTCACGAGGGCCTCCACGTCCTGCCGCGCCTCCTCCTTTTGCCCAGCGTTGGGGGTGTTGAAGGCGATTTTAACCATTGTTAATCTTCGGGCTGCGCGATGCGGCGCGGCTCCAATCACCTTCTTGGGCTGCAGGTTGGAAGAGGAGATGGAACTACTCTAAGCAGCACTTACTTTCCTCCTCTGTCTGCTTGCGACTGCAGCGAGCCCAGCTCTGGGATACTTATGACGCAGTCCCAAGCTGGGTGGGAGACCGTGGGCGGGCCCTGGGAGGTGCCGAGGGAGGAGCGGAGGGGGCCCAAGTGCTGGAATGGGGGGAGGGGTGGGGAACAAGGAGCAGCCGGTGGGGGAAGAGGAAAGGAAGTGGAGCCCGTGGTCGGCTAAGGTTAGACGTGTCTCACCTGCACCCAAGGCGTGCGCCCACCCAGCCTCTGTGCCCTCAGATAAAAGCAAGACAGGAAGGAAGCCTGCCGCTTCAATGTGTGTCTCTGTCCTGGCCACAGTAACCCCAGACTCTGACTCTCTTTTCCCAAACTTGAGCCAGGCCCCTCCGGGGGAGGCCGGGGCTGTAGTTTGGCACCAATCCAAGTTGTCTCAGCTCTGCAGCCACCCTAAGCCGCCCCCCTCAGCATGGTTCTGTGACTGTTCTGTTCTGTCCCTTTACAATCTCTTCCATTTAAAGAACCCCTAGAAGCCCGCTTACAGTTACTTGGTTCATTCTGCCGAGATTTTTTTTTTTCTTTCTTTCTTTCTTTTCATGTGCTCGTGCTTTTCTGATTTTAATCTTCTAACCTGAATTCTGAGTGTGTGAGAAAGCTACGGCTTCTGTCTTCGCAGCTCCCCATTTTGTAGATAGGACATGATGAGTCTCAGAGGCATATGGAGAGCTCATAAAAATTCCATGAAACAATCCAGATCGTTTCACACTCTCGGGTCAGGGATGCCAAAGGGTCTCAGCCAGAGAGCCTGCGTCTCTTCAGTCACCACGGGTGAAAGTTACACGAGGGGGAAAAAAAAAAACAGGGCTCTGTGTTCGTGGCTGTGTTTAAGGAGGACACAATGTTGTTGTTGTTGTTGTTGTTGTTTTAAAACGCTAATACAGCTGTAACTGAGGAGAGGGGAGGTGCGGATAAAGAAAAAAGCAATAACCTCAAAGGGCCCTGAGTGGAAAAACCTTTGCTGGATCATTTGCAGCTGATGTAATTAAAGCTGTTTCTTGGTAGTTCACCCAGGTTGGTGATGCTGACAGAGACCCTCACCCCTTGAAACTCAGTTCCTGCTCAGTTGTTCCAAATAGCCCTGCCTCGTGGAAGAGGAGCCCACTGTGCACATGCAAAACAAACAAACAAACAAACAAACAGTGAAACCCCAACAGGACAAAAGAAAAGCAGCTTTTGCTACGGAATTCTTCCTGGACACATCTATGTAACTGAAGGGACTTGAGTATGTTAAGAACTGCCACCCTTCTGTCCAAAAAGTTTCAGCTTGCAGTTTTTCCCACTGAGCTTTCCTTGACTCTGAAGCCTTCCACCGTCTCCACTGTGGGAGCTTTGTGAAGGCAGCCTTGCATTTTCTTGGATAGGCCGCAGATGTTAAGGTGGATGGAGGGAAACAGTGGGGAGCCTGTGTCTCACATAGTGCCAGAAGCTTATAAAGCAGGATGTTTGCATTTGCTTAGAAATATTGGCATCCTGGGTTCTTCCACTTAGTCTTGCTCATGTCTGGCTCTTATAATTTAACATTTATCAGGCAGCCTTTACTGTAGGAGGAGGAAAGCTCAACTTGCTAGGATGTTTCTCTTTATAATTATCTTCTGTTTGCCATCAGCTTTATGACAAGTCAGCCAGGGTCTGTGCTAGTCTGGCTATGTGATTCACACTGCAAGAATGGCTAAAGAAATAGTCGTTTCTACACCTTTGCCTACCGAAGGCAAAGTGTTGCTTGGAAGTAACGTGAGGGGATTCACAAAGTTGGTGGGTATTGGCTTTTAATTCCATTTCGTACACTCCATGAGTCTCCTCCTTACATTGTAGTGTATTATCTTAGTGTATCTTGCCTGAAATGTGGTCAGGCAAGAAGACCAGGGAATTCATTCCAGTGTTTTAGACAAAAATCCTGATAGCAACTCGGGGAGTTACTGGCCAGGTAACATTGAGCAAGTCACCCCATTTTCTCAGGCCTCAGTTTCCTCCTCCGAGTACTCTTAATGTGAGCATCATGTACAGTAATTCAGAAGGAAGCAAATTTTAAATTATTGAGAAAAGGATAGGATAATGCAATGTCTCATTCTTCTGGAACACGTATTTTAGTGCATAGCATGCCTTCATTTCAAGCTTATACAGGTTGGTTTGTTCTTTGTTTTTTTGTTTGCTTACCCTTCACCCATCCTTAACTTCTGGAGCAGCATACGTGCGTAAGTCCACAGTATCTATAAGAGCATCTAAGTGCTCTTATAGCATCTGAAAAAATAGGTCCATCTCTTGTTTGTTAACATACTGTTGTCTTTATGAGTGCCACTCATTCTTTGCTGTTGTTACCATAGGTGATTCAGATACTGTCTCACGTAGGCAGTTACTGCTTTTACTCCCTCAATATGTATAAGTAACACAAAGGCAGCACCATAGAGAAACAGCATCTATTGTTAGCATCCATTTCAGAAAGGAAAAATACTTCCTGCACGCATTTTGAACTGAAAAAATATAAGCTACCCTTACTAGGTAAAACACAAAGTTCAGTTACTCCTCACTAAGGTATTGAAGATTTCTCTGCACACTCCTCCTAAAATTGCTCCGCTCCTCAACCATTAACATATGCCTTGTTAGAGTTATAAGCCTGTTTGGACTATCCTAAAATCCATGAAGTTCAGTAAAATCACGCTTGAATACTATAAGCTGGTAAATATAAAAAAGAAAATAGACACGAGACAGCTGAATAGTACCCTATAAACATTTTAAGCTTTATAGCAGCGAGTTGTGTATATACTAAAATTGAGATGTCAATGAAGTTACAGGATGTGTTTAAGAACTTGCATTTTCTAACATATTGGTCACTTAATACCATGTTAGTTAACTTCATGATGTTGTAAATTTCCATGTTTCTTCCTGTCGTTGAAGTTGTGTAGTGCCTTTTCATTGGAGGGGATGATATTCTGCCAGCTCTACTCTCAGACCAAGGATGGTCTCCCAATGAAACTGTTGAATTTAGCTGGACAATAAGATGCTGGACTCTCTGCATGGTCCATGCCTGCAATGAAGGAATCATGACTGGATATGAACTGTACTACTGTAACAATATGGAGGAATCCAATATGGGGGGAGGGTTTGGGGAGGATGTGGGGGAATCCCAGAGCCTATGACACTGTGTCATAAAATGAAATAATAAAATAAAATTTTAAAAATATATGAGCTGCCACTTGTTCACTGGGTTGAAACCCATAGGGACCACATAATCACCTATTAAAAATTATTCCAAGTGGCTAAGCTCTTTTTTGTATTCTGTCATCTTTAGCTCAGCAACAACTTCTTATTTTTTAGAATCCACTTCTCTTGCTTTCTTTTCTTTGGAAACCGTGAGGATCTGGCAGTCATGCCAGTTTCAGCTCACATTGTTAATCATGTCTGAATGCACACCATTCAAGCTTATAAATGACATCCCTGTTCTCACAAGCTAGATGATGACTAAATTATCACAACTTTGGCTGAATGAAACATGACATACAATTGGATACAAAGCAGGGGTATCAATTCCCTTTGAAATGAAATCTCCACAGATTCAATTGTACAAAGGTAAAATGTAAAGGAATCTGTTACACCATTTACTCATTCATTTATTCATCCATCAAATATTTCCAAATGATTTTTTACATACCTTGTACTGGGGATCACCATGGGAATGTGGTGGTGAGCAAATCAAACAGAACTTTGTCATTTTTAGAGTATATTCACAATGACCAATGACAATAGTGTGCTTGTCACGGGTTCCCTAGCTCTTGTAGTGAGGGCACTGTCCTCTGTTGTGGAAGACAGGAAAATAATTCTGGAAACCATAAGCATTCTACTCACATCCACAAATAGGAACGTTTAGACCCATAGCTTACCTCGAATGGTTATGTAGCCAGTAACTTATTTAGGAAAATTAATTGACAGCAAATGTATTGGGAACCCAGTTAGTCATCTATATTCCAAGTGGATTACACTGAAAATTGAGAGAGAAAAAAATAAATGGAAAACCTCCAAAGAGGTAAAACAGGCATACTTTATAAGGCCAAGTGCTATAATAAATCATGAATATCACAAGAACAAAACATAGATGAAAAAAAAAAAAACTTCCATTGAATGATCAGGAATCCCAGATTGGGATAATGATGGTAACCTTGAGAAAAACACTGAATATTTGTTTAGCACATCAAACACCAAATTTTTGTGCTAAGCATTTCAAATTAATTATATCATCTGTATGTCCCCTTTTGTTTATGAGGAAACAATTTATGAGAGGTTGGACATCTTTTATTAGTTAATATTCTAATCCAAGTGGTCTGATGATTTCAGTGCTTATACACTTAACCACTATACTGTTTCTCTGGCAATAAAAGCAATAAGAAAACAAAGAATGGGATGATTTTAAAAGGAAGAAAATAACTTTCATATTACCTGGAGCAATGAAGCATGATTTCTTTCCATATTGCAGAGATTCTAGTTTAGGACTTTGTGCAGGACTAACTATGTTGGAAATCTTTTAAAAAGCTTTTCTGGTCTGTTTGAAAGATTTTTTCTTCTTTTAGCAGTAGTGTCTTTCAATGGAGAGCATCTACAGAGTTGGCCAGACATTTGCTTTTAGGTATAATTTCAGGAGTTTGCTATCAGTTGCTACTGTGCCAGACCATTTTCTGGAGGCACTATTTAACCACACCTGTAGTTCAGTCTTGGGAACAGAGCTAGGGATTCCAGTTCAAGATAACAAAGCACACCTGCTTTCTGGAATGGATTCTTGTTTTTCCACTTTGTTAAGTGCTTTCTTTGTAGACCAGTAAGCTATGATAAAAGGAAGATGAAACCTTTTTGCAGATGCTGTACAGAAACCTTTTAAGAAGAAGGGGGGGGTGGATTTCATCATCCCTACAATGATGTGGTCATAACTTTGAAGTTAAAAGTAATTGTACTTTAATTCACAAAAAAAAGTCTTTCCTTTTAGTCATTTGGAGAAATTGAAAAATC